ATATTCTCATTTAACTTTCAAAAGGATTTTTAAACATGTTTCCTAAATGAGGAAAATGTGATTTCGTAATACAAATCAGAGATGTTACATCTTTTTAGTAACATATCAGTCAATAAAGCAGAGGCATTAGTTTTCTTCTAGAGGGAAGAAGAAGGCAATGTCTATTAAAATCATGAGTCTTTTTCTTTAACATTTCATCATTTATTAATGTTTTATCAAAATCATTGCCCTTATTTCCAGTTATATTTCCTGTATTTGCCTATTACAGCAATTATCACACTTATTCCTCTTTTATCTCTGTGCCTGTTACTACTGCTGCACGCTCAGAAGAGCAAGGAAACCATGTTTTTCTGAGTTCCTTGTAGACTACCAGGCTTACTGCGGCATTTAGAAATGATTTGCTGAATGTTTGTAACATTTTCATTTAAGTTACATTCTAGGCCACTTGATACTAATTTTCTATTTAGTATTTGGGTTTGGAGACCTATTTTTCCTTTCACCTTTTTTTTTTTTTTAATTATACTATAAGTTCTAGGGTATATGTGCACAACATACAGGTTTGTAACATAGGAATACATGTTTCATGTTTGTTTGCTGTCCCCATCAACTCGTCATTTAGTTAGTTAGGTATTTCTCCTAATGCTATCTGTCTCCCAATCCCCCACCCCACCTCCTGGCTGGTGTGTGATGTTCCCCACCCTGTGTCTATGTGTTCTTGTTGTTCAACTGCCAATTACCTGTGAGAACATGCGGTGTTCCATTTTCTGTCCTTGTGATAGTTTGCTCAGTATGATGGTTTCCAGCTTCATCCATGACCCTGCAACCACAATGAGATACCATCTCATGCCAGTTAGAATGACAACTTTTAAAAACTCAGGAAACAATAGATGTTAGAGAGGATGTGGATAAATGGGAATGCTTTTAAATTATTTTTTTAAAGCGTATTTTAAAGAATAGCCTATCCGGATGTGGAGGGGACAGTGCAGGTTGTGGTCAGTGGAACCTCCAAAAGAGGTACCCCATTCAAATTGGAGACTTGGCAAGAGAGGGCAGCCAGGGCAGGGAGCACTGAGTAGCCCTTGGGGGAGGAGAAGGTGCAGTTGGTGGACGACATCATGGCAGTGGTCCAGGTGGTGGTCGAGGAGAAGGGCGACATAGGGTGGCAGGTGGACCAGCAGACACAGCCTGGCCCTGGTCCCAGCATGCCCCAGTCGGCAACAGACTTGCTGAAGTTCCTTCAATTGGATCTGGGCTCCGTGAATGCCCCAGGCTGCATGGCCTGCCCGTGGCTGAGGTGAAAGCTTTGGCAGAAGCACCTGCCCTGCTTGGAGGGCACATGGGTCATTAGCCAGGGCATCTTTGGCTTCTGGGCCAGAGCCATATCCTTGCAGCTGCCCATTCGGGATTACTGGCAACAGGGGGTGGGCATCAGCTTCCAGGGACAGGGAGCAAGAGATCCAGGCCAGAGGCACACAGGGCCACCCAGGAGGCAGGGGAGCTGAGGCCACCCTCCTGCAGATAGGAGGGCAGCTTGCTTGGGGGTGCCCTGAGAATACGTGGTAGGGACTGGGAGCCAAGCTCAGCCCTCACAAGGGAGAATAGCAGCACCAAGGACCCTTCACGCACAGCAGAAAGTTGAAGGGCACATTTCCCTGGGAAAGTACTTGGAGAAAGGGAGTCTGCATGCCCATGCCAGTGATGGAAACCACCCCCTACTCCCTGTGTCTGTGTCCAAAGGCCTTAGACCAGAAACACGAAGTACTCAAGGAAGTTGAAGGGCATGTTTCCCTGGGAATGTCCTTCGAGGAAGGGGAGTCTGCTGTCCTCTGCAAGGCAGGCACCAGGTCCCCAGATAGGCTGTCTTCTGCTTGTGCCGCACCCAAAGAACGGTAGGCCCTGAGCATGTATAACCTCCGTTGCACACACGCCTCTGTTGCACACGCGCAAGCCCCATGGGGAGCGCCAGGCAAAGCCTTGCAGTCCGTTCTACCCACAGCGGTTTCGTCAAGTGGACAGGACCACCCCTCACAGCACAGCATCCCAGACCCAATCCCCTGCCTACTTGTGCTCCTTGCTTGCTATTGGCAGAGGCTTTCTGGGCCTCCCTCCACCCACCCACAAGACCACCACATCTGCTACCCTGCCCCCCACACCGAACAGGGACAGGACCACTAATGCACGGTGCTAGGCCAAAGGTCTGGGGTATAGCCCTGCCCAACAGTCTTCCAGCTCTTGCAAAGTTGCGGGGTGTTTCCTGGCATGCCCATCCAATCATTTGGAGGGTCCTTGACCAGAGGCAGATTGTGCACACACTGAGATGGTGGCATGGTTCAGAAATCATGAGGAAGTGCTGCTAAGTAAGCTACATGACGGATTTGCAGACTAGTCTGGGGTCCCTGGGTCTGGGGGAGGGGTTGAGGGTCCTGGTCAGGTTGAGGTCCTCCTGGGGTACGGGGGTGTCTTAGCAGGAGAGCTGGTAAGGGGAAACGTATGCTGCAACCCAGTCAGTAGGCCCTCAGCCCAGCTAGATGAAATGGTCCCTCTGCATCTGTCCTCTTCTTCATGGCCCAGCAGGTGCAGGAACTCAGCCATCCCAGGTACTGGCAACAGGATGAAGTTTTCCTTTCTTTTTTTTTTTTTTTTTTTTTTTTTTTTTGAGACGGAGTCTCGCTCTGTCGCCCAGACTGGAGTGCAGTGGCCGGATCTCAGCTCACTGCAAGCTCCGCTTCCCGGGTTTACGCTATTCTCCTGCCTCAGCCTCCCGAGTAGCTGGGACTACAGGCGCCTGCCACCTCGCCCGGCTAGTTTTTTGTATTTTTTAGAGAGACGGGGTTTCACCGTGTTAGCCAGGATGGTCTCGATCTCCTGACGTCGTGATCCGCCCGTCTCAGCCTCCCAAAGTGCTGGGATTACAGGCTTGAGCCACCGCGCCCGGCCTGAAGTTTTCCTTTCATCACAATCTTTATTTCCACAATGAAGTGATCTCTAAGGCATATTATATTGGCATCCTTGGTAAGGAGTGCCTCCCGGCATGATAGAGGGGGTGGAGTGTGGGAGGCTAGACTTGGCATAAGCCTTCCTGATGACTCTTGCTCCAGGATTCATGGCACCTGGCTCTCTTGTAGTCCAGTGTTTCTAGAGCCATGCAGGAGAAGGCCCCAGCTTCAGGCAGGACACAACCTAACTGAGCTTCTTCAGCTGGTTGGCTGACCTTCACCATTCAGGGTCAGCTAGAATTGCTGAGGTGGGCACTGCTGAAAGGTGTCATGCGGAAGGACCTTGCTGGTCTTTCCTTGGCATCTGGGGAATTGGCTTTGAACCATGACCTGAACAGCCACGCAGATCATCAGTCAGGGCCTCTGTCTCAATCCCCTGCAGCACTACCAGAAGGAGTTAGGCCCTCAGAGAGGGAACAGACAGGAGGCCAGGTAAGCAGCCCAGGGCTGAGGGTTCAAAGGCCTGTGGGTCCTGGAGCTGGGAAACACATGAGAACTCAAGGCTCAGGGAAGAGCCAGCAATGAGAAATCCCAGGCCATCCCTGGGCTGGGGGAGAAAGGCCCATCAGGGAACTGTAACACTCATATTTCAGAACTGGGAAACCTGAAGTCACCTAAGAGGCAGAAGTGGCCAAGGTCTATGGGTAAGAAGCAAGTCTCAAGGGATAATTGCCTCATCATCCTTCTCTGGCTCCCTTCCATTCCTTGAGGCCTGCTACCATGTTGGGCTCAGTTTGGGCTCCACTAGGGACCTCTTACCCTCCACGGAGAGGTGCACATGAGTCGCACCTAGATCTACATCCTTCAATTTTTAAAATGCCTTAATAATGTAGATTCAGACCAGGATTTTATTGTAAAAGTGCTCTTCCTCCTTACTTGTGTCAAAGTCTTTTTCATGATGGGGGAAAGAATGCAACATACTTTGGTAAGTTAAATAAAGTATAAAAGTAAAAATAAATCCCATTGTAGATGATCAATTAAATGGCAGGGGACCTTCTGTGTGTGTCCAACAAGGGAATCCTGAGCATTAAGGCCCATCTGAGTATTAGTGTAGCCATCCAATTTCCCTTGTACCAGTGTGAGTGTGGGCACATTCCAGCCTGTGTGTTTGAGCTGGTGTATGAGTGTGAACAGCTGTGCCTGTGTACCTTTGTGTACCTTGGTTTGGGGGAGGGGGGCACACTCCTACCCACTGGTGTGCCTCAACATAGCTCTTGAGCTGGCAAGTAGGGTGCTGCCAGTTTGGCAATCCAACTTCAGGACCCATGAAGCCTGCGCTCTTCGGAGATGCGAAGAGTCCTCAGCGTTCTCACAAATGGCAGAGGGAGGAGGAAAAGGAGGGCTGGCACGAGTTACCTAGAGGAGATGTCACGGACCTGAAATGACACCTGGAGGGAAATAAAACCTACCAGCTGTCTGTATCTTCCTGTGTGTTTGGTCAGGGAAGGCGGGCATTCAAGTAAGAAGCAATGGAACCCGTGGGGTTTTGGGATTTGCTATCCAGGAATCCCTGTGCACCAGTGTCCGGCCCATGAGAGAGGAGCACAGCATGTGGGTCCGGCAGGGCCTGAGTCTCCAGGGAGGCTGGCATTCTCCCCAAGAGGGCACGGGTCAGTAGATGGAGGAGAAACCCGGGCTGTGGGGTCAGGTAGATGGGACACTTATCACTTAGCCAGGTGGGAGTTTAGGAGAGGGCCTAGTGAGCAGCGGTCTAACTGGCTGGTGACACCCTGTTCCAGTGCTGCATGTATGCACACAAGCATTGCCCCATGCATCCTCTCCAGGATGCCTCACCTGGGCAGATAGGAAGTAAGGCACACAAGATCCTAAGCTTATGGTCATGAGTGGCCCCAGAGGGAGGTCTCTAGGATCACTGGTCCCAGGAGATGCAGGTATGCAGGGTCTCTTCAGAACAGGGGTAAAATGCATAAGCCCAGCTCTCCACCCAGTGGGTGTCTTGCCCTAATGATGTCAGCCATGGCAGACCCATACCTAGACAAGAGATGTGAACAGAGGCTTTCAAATTTTATTCTGAAAATTTTAAGGTAGATATTACATCTAAACACTTTTCAAAGAGCATTAACAAGTATGAAATTACTTTGAAAAAAATTCCTTTTGCTCTGAATACCTCAAAAAATTCATGGAGGAAGTTAGTATCTACCTCTCTCCACAAAACCAATATGTTTCTTGTAGTAATATGCAGAAATAACACTTCAATTTTCAATTTGCAAACAAGGTTTGGAATGCAATAACTATTACTTTGAATACTTGCTTTAATATCTGCTTAAGTCTCCTTTTTCAGATCTACTTTCTTCACCATCTACTGTAGATGAAACATAACTTGAGCTACCATATGCTTCACGAGGAGCAGGGAGCAACCTAGCCAGAGAAGGCAGATTCCTTTGGTCTTTTCTGCCAGCATGCTCACGACCACAAGAATAAGAATCACCACAGCTCCTTGAGTAACTCTCCCAACTTCTGCCATATCTATCTCGTGTATTATAATCATGGCAGGTGCTTCCACCGTAAGATATCCGAGGCCCTTGTGCAGGTGGTGCACCCTGAGAGGTCCCTGCAGGGTTGATAAAACAATACGTTGGATTGCATTTAAACATTTTTACTGCTATCACTAAAGCATGAACTAAAGTACTATTTTGAAATATCTGCTTTCCTCTGCCTTTGTTGACAGGATACTAATTAAGCCTTCAATAGTCAGGTTTTATTTAAAAGAAGTGTAAGAGTAGTATTTGGAAGTTTAACAAATTTAATTCTAAAATAAATGTTGAGTCACATTTTCTGAACATGAACTGAAGTTCTCACCTTCATATCATTCCCTATGCTTTATACTGTTAAGAATACTCAACATTTAAACATGTTATATTTGTGCTTTATAATTTTCCTTAGAATTTCATTAAAACAATGATCTGTTCTATGAAATACAATTATATAACTTACAAATCCATCCTGGACCATTATCATATCCCTGAAATGCATCTCTATAAGAACTTCCACTTGGACCTTCAGAATGATCTCTACCACAGGCCTCACTGTAGCCATCACGATCACTAAATTGAGAAAAAAAAAAAAAAGCTTTTTTAAATGTCAGAATGAACAATTGAATAAATCTATTTGATAAATCCAGATAACGTTATAGTACCTATATCCTCTGGAGGAATGTTCATCCTGACTAGAACGACCATAAACACAGTATGCGTAGTCTTTAGCTGGTGCAGCATAATCCCTGGTTTCTCGGGAACTTGGATGATTTCTGTGGGCATAAGTTTAAGCAATAAATTTTAAATTTTCAGCTTCTAATATCCAAAATATAACTAAATTACAACTTAAACACAATTAAATTGTCAAACATCTAAATAAATATTACTCCAAATGAAATAAGCAAAAGCCCAAAAAGCACATGGAACAGATACTCATAATCAGTGATTCAGAGAATGCATTCCAAATCCAAAAGGAGATTCCACACTTCACACACACACTGGAAGCACAATAAATTTTGCAAAGCAGGAAATAGCAAGTGTTTGAGAGGATGCAGATAAATTGGAGCCCTGATACAATGTTAGTTGGAATGAACAACTTAAGAAATCTATTTGACAAATCCAGAAAACATTGCATTACCTATATCCTCTAGAGGAATGTTCATCTGGACTAGAACGACCATAATCATGGTATGTATAGTCTTTAGGTGGTGGAGCATAATCCCTGGTTTCTCGGGAACTTGGATGATTTCTGTGGGCATAAGTTTTAAATTTTCAGCTTCTAATATCCAAAATATAACTAAATTACAACTTAAACACAATTAAATTGTCAAACATCTAAATAAATATTACTCCAAATAAAATAGGCAAATGCCCAAAAAGCACATGAAACAGATACTCATGATCAGTGATTCAGAGAATGCATTCCAAATCCAAAAGGAGATTCCACACTTCACACACACACTGGAAGCACAATAAATTTTGCAAAGCAGGAAATAGCAAGTGTTTGAGAGGATGCAGATAAATTGGAGCCCTGATACAATGTTAGTTGGAATGAACAACTTAAGAAATCTATTTGACAAATCCAGAAAACATTGCATTACCTATATCCTCTAGAGGAATGTTCATCTGGACTAGAACGACCATAATCACGGTATGTATAGTCTTTAGGTGGTGGAGCATAATTCCTGGTTTCTCGGGAACTTGGATGATTTCTGTGGGCATAAATTTTAAATTTTCAGCTTCTAATATCCAAAATATAACTAAATTACAACTTAAACACAATTAAATTGTCAAACATCTAAATAAATATTACTCCAAATAAAATAAGCAAAAGCCCAAAAAGCACAAGGAATAGATACTCATAATCAGTGATTCAGAGAATGCATTCCAAATCCAAAAGGAGATTCCACACTTCACACACACACTGGAAGCACAATAAATTTTACAAAGCAGGAAATAGCAAGTGTTTGAGAGGATGCAGATAAATTGGAGCCCTGATACAATGTTAGTTGGAATGAACAATTTAAGAAATCTATTTGACAAATCCAGAAAACATTGCATTACCTGTATCCTCTAGAGGAATGTTCATCTGGACAAGAACGACCATAATCACGGTATGTATAGCCTCTAGATGGTGGAGCATAATCCCTAGTGTCTCGGGAACTTGGATGATTTCTGTGGGCATAAGTTTAAGCAACAAATTTTAAATTTTCAGCTTCTAATATCCAAAATATAACTAAATTACAACTTAAACACAATTAAATTGTCAAACATCTAAATAAATATTACTCCAAATGAAATAAGCAAAAGCCCAAAAAGCACATGGAACAGATACTCATAATCAGTGATTCAGAGAATGCATTCCAAATCCAAAAGGAGATTCCACACTTCACACACACACTGGAAGCACAATAAATTTTGCAAAGCAGGAAATAGCAAGTGTTTGAGAGGATGCAGATAAATTGGAGCCCTGATACAATGTTAGTTGGAATGAACAACTTAAGAAATCTATTTGACAAATCCAGAAAACATTGCATTACCTATATCCTCTAGAGGAATGTTCATCTGGACTAGAACGACCATAATCATGGTATGTATAGCCTCTAGATGGTGGAGCATAAACCCTAGTGTCTCGGGAACTTGGATGATTTCTGTGGGCATAAGTTTAAGCAACAAATTTTAAATTTTCAGCTTCCAGTATCCAAAACATAACTAACTTAAGGCTTAAACAAAATTAAAAGGTCAAACATCTAAATAGATATTTCTCCAAATGAAATAGGCAAAAGCCCAAAAAACACATGGAACAGATACTCATAATCAGTGATTCAGAGAATGCATTCCAAATCCAAAAGGAGATTCCACACTTCACACACACACTGGAAGCACAACAAATTTTACAAAGCAGGAAATAGCAAGTGTTTGAGAGGATGCAGATAAATTGGAGCCCTGATACAATGTTAGTTGGAATGAACAACTTAAGAAATCTATTTGGCAAATCCAGAAAACATTACATTACCTATATCCTCTAGAGGAATGTTCATCTGGACTAGAACGACCATAGTCACGGTAGGTATAGCCTCTAGATGGTGGAGCATAATCCCTAGTGTCTCGGGAACTTGGATGATTTCTGTGGGCATAAGTTTAAGCAACAAATTTTAAATTTTCAACTTCCAGTATCCAAAACATAACTAACTTACAGCTTAAACACAATTAAATTGTCAAACATCTAAATAAATATTACTACAAATAAAATAGGCAAATGCCCAAAAAGCACATGGAACAGATACTCATGATCAGTGATTCAGAGAATGCATTCCAAATCCAAAAGGAGATTCCACACTTCACACACACACTGGAAGCACAATAAATTTTACAAAGCAGGAAATAGCAAGTGTTTGAGAGGATGCAGATAAATTGGAGCCCTGATACAATGTTAGTTGGAATGAACAACTTAAGAAATCTATTTGACAAATCCAGAAAACATTACATTACCTATATCCTCTAGAGGAATGTTCATCTGGACTAGAACGACCATAATCACGGTATGTATAGCCTCTAGATGGTGGAGCATAATCCCTAGTGTCTCGGGAACTTGGATGATTTCTGTGGGCATAAGTTTAAGCAACAAATTTTAAATTTTCAACTTCCAGTATCCAAAACATAACTTATGGCTTAAACAAAATTAAAAAGTCAAACATCTAAATAGATATTTCTCCAAATAAAATAGGCAAATGCCCAAAAAGCACATGGGACAGATACTCATAATCAGTGATTCAGAAAATGCATTTCTTTTTGGTTTTTTTATACTTTAAGTTCTGGGGTACATGTGCATGACGAGTTAATGGGTGCAGAAAATGCATTTCAAATCCAAAATGAGTATCATATTTCCCACACACAACCTGGAATGGCAGTAAATTTTAAAAAGGAGGAAATAACAAGTGTTTGAGAGGATGTAGATAAATTGGAACCCTGATACAATGCTAGTTGGAATGGAAAACGATGCAGCTACTATGGGGAAATGTGGTGGTTCCTCAGGAAAGTAAACATAGCTATCATAGGACCATGCAATTCCACTCATATACACCCAGAATTGAATACGTGTACTCAAACAAATATTGGTGCATAGAAATACTGGGGTGGAAACCACCCAGATAAAATAATGGTTTAACAACTTGTGGAAGGAGTAAAGTGCTATGATGTAAATGAACCTTCAGGACATCACAGATAAACGTCCTGTTGTGTTTGAGCCCCATTAACATTAAATGCCTACAACAGGTGGTTCAGAGGCAGAACACAGATTGGTGTTTGCTAGCAGCTGAGGAAAGGAAGAAAATGGAAGGGAATGCTTAACTGGTAGTTGGAGTTTTAATTTAGAGTGATGAAAATGTTTTGGAACTTGATGGAGGTAGTTGTTGCATGACACAGAATATATTAAACACCACTTAACTATTTACATTGTAATATTTAATTTTGTTATGTGAATTTCATCATCACAAGAAAAAAAATCAATTGTGTTTCTTCATTTTTCCTTTACCTCTCCTTAGTTGCATAACCATCATCTCTTCGTGACATATGGTCATTTCTCCAGGAAGAGGTTGGCTCTCTGCATGGAGGACCTCCATAATTCTCTCTTCCACGTGACACGGGACCTTTCATATTAAAATGATGGAACATTTTGTAAAGAACACCAAATCTAAAACACTATTTTCTCTTCTCTCAAACAACTTCTATAATTATTTCTTCTATGACTCCATTCTTCATTTCCTAAATTACTACAGTCATGACACTGAATATTTCGTATGGCTTTGGATAATCCCATGGCTCCCACAAGTCCAGTTCTTCTAATGAAGCTGAAGCCAAACATTAATTCTTAGGTAAAAGTTCATTGGTAATGGTTAATAACTTAGTTATTATTTTACTTTTCATGTGAATTACTGATGACTACTAATAATACAGGAATAACATGTAAAATCATCAAACTAATCATGGATTTTAAAGTTTACATACATTGTCGCTTCTCAGCTGAAGAACGTAAATTTTCCCATGTTGTTGAGTCCAACTCACACACACAAATAAGGCTACCTTTGAATGACTGCACACTAAATGTTTACATAAAAGTTCTCCTTTATCACTAACTGGTTGGCTCTATTTTAAATGTTGACAAATTAAAATGTGCTAGTGAAGATTTTCTAATGATGGCCAAGATTTACTTTTACTGCAATAAGCAATATTATGAAAGGGGTCATTACAACAATGTTGCTATTTCAAAATAGAAAAGTTTCTCCTTTAATATACTCTTCACCTGCTATTCCTCAGAGGTCAGTCTTTCACCTGTGATACCTTCACTGGCTAATTTTCCAATGGAAATATGTTGGCTTGTATATCCTAAAGCCCATAAATACCTAACTTCACTGATACTCTACATATGAAATGTAAAATTGAAAATGGCAGTTTTCAATTTCCTCCATATTAGGGTGGAGGACTAAGTAAGAATTTTAATTTGTTCCGCTTAACTTCTTTGCTAAGAACTTTTATTTATTGTCTTGTTTTCTTCTGTCCAGTCTGCAGTCTTACAATTCTCCTTCTGAAAAATATTACTTCTATTCAATCCAATTGCTCACCTCATGTTACTTAGTTCTAAATTCTCTCCTCAAATATTTCAAATCTTACACCAAAGATCTTGTGTTAATGTTTAAACATCCTGGTACAATCTCAACTATTGATTTACATCACCCTGTATTTCACAACTCTGCACTTCTGTGATATCCACTAAATTTAAGAATATTGGACTCCTTCACGTCTACCTTTCAAGCCTTAAATTTATTTTAAAATAATATTTAAGCCCAGTGACTCCTTATCTGCTAAATGCTCTTGTAGTTCTTTTGAATCTCCATATAAGCAGTGGGAATGCCTTGCACATATGCATTACTGAGGTGTCAGAAGTTGGATGGCCAGGCTCAGCGGCTCACACTGACTGAGTGTGGAAGGCAGAGGCAGCTGGACTGCTTGAGCCCCGGGCTTTAACATCAGTTTTGACAGTGTAGTGAGATCCTCTCTCTAAAAAAATATAGGAAAAAAATTTAGCTAGGTATGATGATGCATGCCTGTAGTTGCAGAAACGTGGAAGGCTGAAACAGGAGAATTGCCTGAGCCCAGGAATTTGAGGCTGTCATAAGCCATCATCTCACCAATGCACTCTGACCTGGTAAGAGCAAGACTCCAACCCAACAAAGAAACTGAACAAGCAACTTTTAGACTGGGACACCAGGGGACCACTACCAGGGGACCTAGTAAATGGAAGAATTAATTAGATGAAGAAGCCTCCCATCAAAGAATACTGCTGGGAACTTAGAGGAAAATTAAGGGGAATTTTCTAGCAAACACAGGATTAAAAGGAATGTTGGCCTCACTCTAATCACTTCTTCGATCTGCAGTGAGAAGTTCAAGTATTTCTTCAACATAAATCTGAAATGTACCTAGTGAGATAGAAACTATAATAAAAGCTATCACTCAGTAATTACGTCCATGTATGTGTCACTTCTCTTTTCTTCAACGAACTTAAAGCTAAGCATTCAGGTAAAATAGCTCATTTTAAGTGATACAAAAACTACAGTCTTTCTGTCAGGTAGCATTTACCTTGGCTTCTGATCCAACTATTGCTTCTTGCCATAGCAGAAAGAGCAGATTTTTTAGGAAGAGGACCTCCACTTCTTGAAGATGGACCTCTTTTAACTGGAATGGCTCCCCTAGAAGAACTCATGTTGAGATCAAGAGTGTATTCACCATCATCTGTATTTCAAACAAAATCTTTTTAGTTAACTAACATCACTGTTTCTTAAATGGCTAAGAAGTTTTAGTTGTTTATAAAGATTTTCTACATATTATAATCTTACAAATTCACATCTGTCTAAACCAATAAAATTAATATTTCTATATGAAATCAGTACAGTTCAAGCAATAAAAGTCCATTTAGAAAATCTAGAAAGAAACTCAAGTATCATAATATATTGGTGTGAGAGAGAGAGGTGGGAAAATGGGGAGTGAACAGGGAGTAGAAATCTATCAATAAAGTATCTAAGTATAATATACATAAAAATATTAAAAGAAAAATGATAAATGACTGATTATATCATTCTGTTATGAGGAAACATTTTCAAAGCATATCATAAAGATAAACTAATGGCCGGGCGCGGTGGCTCAAGCCTGTAATCCCAGCACTTTGGGAGGCCGAGGCGGGTGGATCACGAGGTCAGGAGATCAAGACTATCCTGGCTAACATGGTGAAACCCCGTCTCTACTAAAAATACAAAAAACTAGCTGGGCGTGGTGGCGGGTGCCTGTAGTCTCAGCTACTTGGGAGGCTGAGGCGGGAGAATGGCGTGAACCCGGGAGGCGGAGCTTGCAGTGAGCCGAGATCATGCCACTGCACTTCAGCCTGGGAGACACAGCGAGACTCCGTCTCAAAAAAAAATAAATAAATAAAAAATAAACTAAATTCCATTCAAAGAAATTCAAATATTTACAATACCAAGAAGTGACATATCAGGAAAATACATTACCTCTAAAATTTGTTAACACAATACAGAATTCTTAAAATTCCCTTATGAGACATTAATTTTCAGATTAGACTATGCTGAATTTTAATACTTTAAGAATTGCATATTAATTAATATAAAAATATTTTTGTAGATCTACAAAAATATAGCTATATGCCAATTGCCAGATGGTGTTACAGGTTAGAATATATACATTCTCATACGTGGCAGGGTATAATTGAACCTCACCCTCAAGATCAATGGCGACAAAATAGCCAGGAAGCCACGCATCTTAAAAATGAAGCAAAGACTGCAATTTCAACTTTAAAAAACATCTCCAATGAACTACACATCTGGTTATTAAAACTCCAAATTAATTGTTACAGTTTCGAAGTTGGTTAATAGATAATACAAGTTATTTATTTATTTATTTATTTATTTATTTATTTATTTATTTATTTATTTATTGAGATGGACTCTTGCCCTATCACGCAGGCTGGAGCACAATGGCATAACCTTGGTTCACTGCAACTTCCGCCCCCCAGGTTCCAGCGATTCTCCTGCCTCAGCCTCCCAAGTAGCTGGGATTACAGATGCACGCTACCACACCAGGCTAATTTTTTGCATCTTTAGGGGAAACAGGGTTTCACCATGTTGGCCAGGCTGGTCTGGAACTCCTGACCTCGTGGTCCACCTGCCCTGTACTCCCCAAGTGCTGAAGTGACAGGCGTGGGCCACCTCACACAGCCAATCCAATAGTTTTATCTTTTTTTTTTTAAATACATGGTTTGTTTCTCTTTTATATGTAAAAATAGACCCCTCATTTCTATTGAGTAAATCACTCATAAATATCATTTTCAGTGACTCATCCTCCAGCAAAGATAGATACACACATACCTGTGAAGCAGTGGTTTTTAGACCTTTCCAGAGTCACAGACAATTTTCAGAAATTAAAGCCCTACATTACTTAAGTTGAAAATGCTTTATGGCAGGCCAATGTTCAAATTTTCCGTATCAAAATTACAAATCAATAGATTTGCATAGATATTTGCACATGTACACACAAGAAAACAAATATTGCAAAACCAATCTTAAGTATTGAGTTACTTTTTTTCCTACAGGAAACTTTTAAATATTCCACCATACTTTGATAATATAACTGATATGAAATTCTGTGCCCCAAAATAGAAAACTCTAAAGTATAATGAATTTAAATGAGCTCTGCAGAAAACCTGCTGAGTACGCGCAATCAGCATTCATAAACTCAATTCAGTTTGAAATTTGTGTTACTTCAATGCAACGCTATTACAATTTTAAAGCAAATTTTAGTTATTAGTTCAATCATTCTTATAATACATCTTTAGTACTTAGAAATAATTTTGCTTATCAATAAATTAATCTTCTGTTCATAAAGGAAATAAATAAAATTGAGAAATTTCAATATCTTCAAACTTACTTTCTTTCAGTCCTATGGTTTCATCTTTATATTTTAAAACATTACCCAAGTGTCCTTCATGTGAGGGATGCCACCCTCTTGTTCCTCCACTACTTCCTTTTGCAGATCTCAGACTTCCTGAAGGGCTTCTGTTTCTTGAAGAAGGTGGAGGTCTCCGCCTACCACCACTTTGAAATGATGGTTTCTTGGCTTGTTCTACTTTTATTGCTTTTCCATCCAAAGACTAAAAATATTAAGGAGACTATCAATAACACTGGCACATTTAATGTGAGCATATTTTACAGGCATTTTTAGATCAACTATAGTTCAATTTGAGGTATTTTCTCCCAAAGGAAACGTTTTTCCTCCTAAAATGAACACACCTTTCACAATGCCAAATTTGAGACATTTACTGAGCACATGCCTTCCATTAAAAGATCAAACACAAATTCTATTATTCAAACACCTTGAAAATTTCTCCTTTATTAAAAAAAAACAAAAAAAACAACAACAACAAAGAAAGATTAAACATCACACATTCTATGGAAGAATGTGGCACATCTGTTTTTTACAATATATAATACACTTCATCTGTGTATTCACATCACTGATTTAAAAGTTTCAGTGTCCCAATGAAACTTGTGTCATTTAAAAAATTGAGGTTACTTTTTCAGTAATTACTCACATTAGTCATTATGAATTGTTTCTTCTTTGATTGGCTAATACTTACATAAAATGTCCCCATATGATTTACAATGCTATATTTACTCTAAAAATGTTTCTGTGAATGTGATCCTTGTTTGATCTCGTTAAGGTTTCCTGCCTTACTCATTTCTTATATTGCCTTAGATGTGCCCCTAAAAAATGACTCTTAATATAGTACTTCATGTAATTTCTCAAAAATGCTTAAATATCCTAATTAATTTCACAATAACATTTTTCACTGTAATCTTGTCTATAGGCCATAGCAATTTTTGGAAACAGTTCAGCTAACAATTTGATTTAAAAATTCCATGGCTTTTATTATTTGGGGGAAGTAAGTCTTAAATTCCTTACAAAACCTCTTGCAGCCACATCGCCAGTTGTTCCTACCTTGAAACCACTTTTGTTATTTCTGGGCCCAAAATATTTTCCCTAGATTTGCTCATGGTTGCTTCCTTCCCAGTCAGACAAATTCTGAAGTCAGCCAAAATTCCTTAACCGTTAATTCTCCCTGAAAACTCTAAGAACTTCCTTTATTGGCTGTCTTAACATTTACGTGCATATAACATTCATATTTATTTTAACACAATAAAACATGTGAGATGAAGTAATTTAGAAATAACATTGGCTGGGCACAGTGGCTCACACCTGTAATCCCAACACTTTGGGAGGCTGAGGCAGGCGGATCACAAGGAAAAGAGTTAGAGACCATCCTGGCCAACATGGTGAAACCCCGTCTCTATTCAAAGTACAAAAATTAGCTGGGTGTGGTGGCAGGTGTCTGTAGTCCCGGCTAGTCGGAGGCTGAGGAAGGAGAATCGCTTGAACCCAGCAGGCGGAGGTTGCAGTGAGCCAAGATAACCCCACTGCAATCCAGTCTAGCAACACAGCGAGTCTCCATCTTAAAAAACAAACAAACAAAAACTCTACACAAATTATCTGCTCTTTTGCTTGAAAAACAGGGGGAAGAAAGAAATTATCATAGATTACTATACGTAAGTCAAAATTATCTCCATCACTACCACAAAGCCATGAACCAAAAGCTACTCTCGGTTTCTACCACAGCTTAATCTACTAATTTGTAAGAGTGAACAAAACTGTACTCTCTGCTATGTGCCAGGAAGTGTGCTAGATCTAACAGAAATAAAAGCAACTTAGGAAGACTTAAATATGCATTATATACAATTTCACAATCAACAGATTAATATATAGTACAGTGAGTACAAAATACAATATGCAATGAGGAAGAAAATATGAAATCTAAGTTGTTTTTGAAGCATAAATTGTTATTTGTGAGACATACATCAGGAAGGATAATTCTGAAGAAGTCCAAAAAAGCATTTGGGGATAGCGTAAAGACTAGCAGGAGCTATAACCAGATTGGGATAATGTCATTTATTTATTTATTTTGAGATGGATTCTCCCTCTGTCACCAGCCTGCAGAGCATTGGCGTAATCTCGGCTCACTGCAACTTCTGCCTCCCAGGTTCAACTGATTCCCCTGCCTCAGCCTACTGAGTAGCTGGAACCACAGGCACACACAATCATACATGGCTAATGTTTTTGTATTTTAGTAGAGACAAGTTTTTACCATGTTGGCCATTATGGTTTCGTTTTCCTGACCTCGTGATCTGCCCACCTCAGCCACATCCATGGTGGCGTTAGCCACCATGCCGGGCCTCATTAGGATACTGTTATAAAGCAAAAAACTGCTAAAGTGCCCAAAATGGAATGATCTTGACTACAATGTAAAGGAATTCAATAGTTCATAGAATTACATAAAATTTTAAAGCTTTAGTAAGCACACAATAATCCCTAGATTTAAAACTCAACAGGACAAGAGACCACTGGTTGGATTAAAACAAGTCCCCAAACACACTGGGGAAATGAGTAATTGGGTATTCATGTTACATAAATCACTCTAGTGATAGGAAGGAAACGTCCTTAGGAGAAAAGAGCCAGGATGGGGCAAAAATGCCAATTACTTCTTCTGTTATCTGACTTCAATGTTCTTGTATTATTTTCTATTTTCAAGGACTTAACATTTAAATATACTTTCTCAAGAATATATTTTCAGAAAATGGGAAAGAATCTTTCCTTCTTGTGAGTTTGTCTAGATGTCTATCCACAGTTTGTCTATGCTCTAAAAGTATTTCCATGAATTGGAAGTCCATTAATAACATTTAATAAATGTTGACTTATTACTTTCATTTACATGAAGGTTCCTTACAACTTTTAAAGCCCTTCAAAACCTTTCAAAATCTATTTACACTCATATTGAAATACAAACATAGAAAAATTATATATTAATTTATATAATGTTAATTCCAATACCCTTCCAAACTACATTTGCATGTATATGACAAAAGAAGAGGACGGCTTCATATGACATTCTACTATCTTCAAAAGTTTAGTAATATTAAAAAGACCTATAAATACTGTTAATTGAAGAACAGAGTTAGAATATTATTAATAAGGGACTCTTACCTTTCCATTCATATCTTTGGCAGCATTCTTAGCATCTGCAGGGTTCTCAAAAGTAATAAATGCAAAACCTCTGGATTTGCTGGTTCGATCCTTTATTAAAAGAACTAAAATATATGAAAAGTTTTTACATTCATATAATGGGCTCACCAAGGTACTAACCATCTGAAAGTTACATCAAACCAAAAAATAATTGCATTTTACATCATTACTATGATTCTTAATACTAAGTCACCCCTGTAGTCAGCCTATTTTATTCCAGTTTGTTCCCTAACTCCACAACATATTTAGTTTTCCTCATATTCCTTTCTAAGTAGTAGGCTATCCTTACCACAGACCCTTAATCTGGTACTATGAGACTTTTCCAAATATCAAATAGATAATTCAAAATAAGAGTTTAAAACTAATAAGGCATTTTAATGTAGGTATACAATGAACTTTGAAAAAAATACATTTTTTCAAAACATACATATATAAACATACATATTTTAAACATACATATTGAAATATACATATGAAAATACACACAGACACACGGCTTTAAGAGTTACCTTCTGATATGGGACCATGTTTCACAAATACAGCTTTAAGCATCTTTTCATTGGTTTCTCTATTGAGGCCACCAATAAAAAGCTTGCCAGGACAATCTGCTTCTACCATTGTGCTGCAAATGGTAAAACATTATCTATATTTAGATAAAAATAAATAAGCTAAAAAGATAAAATTTTATTACACACTATGTTGAAAACCCAAGTAAAACCCTTCCCGAGGCTGACATCTTTCTAGCATTTGTTACTTCAAATATGTAGAATTTATAACACACACAGCAAAAGGGTCACTAACTTCATGGACAAATGATGCATTTCAGTATGTACCTGATAAAATCTCATTTCTAAAAATTAGATAAGAAAAGCTATCATAATTTACCTAAGTTGCAATATAAAGAATGCCCCCATTTAAGTAATTTTATTTGAAAACTATATTTATGAGGTACAGTGTGATGTTTGTGTATTTTCTTTCTTGAGATGTGTATCTCCCACACTTGAGATGTGTATCAGTGCACTGCTAAGTGCAGCCTCCTCCACCCAGCCTCAACTGATCTTCTCACATCTCAGCTTCCCAGGTAGGTGTTACCAGAGGGGCTTTCTACCAGGTTTGGGAAATTTTTTGTGTTGTTTTAAATAGACAAGGGTTTCCCCATATTGCCCAAGCTGGTATCCAAATCCTGGGCTCAAGTGATCTGCCAGCTTGGGACTACCAGAGTGATGAGATTTCAAGGGTGAACCACCACGCCCAGCATGGTATCTGGATAAAAGACTAAATCAAGCAAATCAAAATGTTTTTGGGAGAAAACATTTTAAATATTTTACCATCTTTTAGTGATTTGAAATACACGATAAGTAAAAGATCCCCAAACCCTGGCCTTCAACCCGTACCTATCTGTGGCCTGAACATAATGCCTGAGGGTGCCCTGTAATACCTGTCTGTAGAGAATGTAACACATGAGGATGACCTGAGGTTGTACAGTTTTAACTGGAAACCATCCTCCCTATTCCCCCGCTGCCCCACCCTGTCCCCGTGGCAGCCCTGCTGCCCCACCTGTCCTCTGTCACACTACCCCTACCGGAAGCCCAGCCCCACCACGCGCCGCTTGGGGCCCTGCCGCCAGCCCCCACTCCCAAACGTGTCCACTTGGCCTCCATCTTCCCCTGCGCAACTCTTGTCTGAGGAAAAATTTGTCTTCCACTAAAATGGTCCCTGATGCGAAAATGGCAATATTAAAGGAGCCCATTATGTTACACAGGCTGGTCTCCAACTCCTGACCTCAAGTCATCCTTCTACCTCCGCTTCCCAAATGCTAGGATTACAAGAGTAAGTCAGTGTGCCAGGTTAACAGAAAAACTTAAGCTCCTCCATTTTGTCCCAGTTACCTATCTAATTCCATTTATCTCGATTACACCCACTTATTCGTTTTAAATTATTTACAGTGCCGGAGATACATGAAACATGTTTCAAATACTGTCATACAAGGAAGGAGACAATTACAGGCTTTACAGAGGCAAACTTAAACTGAGGTTATTTATGTCCCCGTATTTCTACGTACACGAAAGTAACACAATTTATGTCAAAATTTGATAATTCCTTCCAAGCAAATCAAACACGTGACATGTGCTAACTAAAAGTGTAAGTTTTTCATCTTAGGGGTTAAGTATATTGCCTGTATTTTGAATGATGACCAAATTCACAGAGAAAAACCGCTTTAATAAAAAATGCCCATGAAAACAATGGCGCCTTAGCACCATCTCCCACAGCTTGTCGGACACATTAGGCAGTTAAGGCAGAATCCTCAAGAAAAATCAATGACTTTAATAAAAATGAGTTTCTTAATAGCACTGAGGTGTTCTCTCCCCACTGTCTCCTCCCGTAATTCAACACCCACACATAGAAAACCCACCCCCTTTTATAGACAAAATTCCGAACCTTCGCTTTCTATTCTTGCCAAGAGACCAACCTGTCCAGAGAAACAGAAAATACAGGAACTTTTCAGTACGACAAACAGCCTGAGGTTCGCCCGGCCCTCAGGTCGTATGCTTCCGACTTCGGGACACCACAGTCCCAACTGCAGGAAGTACAACCAGAGCTGGCCCGAGTGAGAAGCACGCCGAAGCCTCGCCCGGAAATCCCGCCTACCTCCACCGGCCAATCATAGGGAGGGCGGTGGGCGTCGGCCAATTATTGCGAAGGCTGTAGGCGCCTCAGGAGGCGCGCTGCTCCTGGTTGGCCTGTAGCTGCATCCTCTCGCGGTTGCTCCTCTGATAAGCTATGTCTGCCTTAATGCCAGGTAGTAGTGAATTCAGTCACGCGTAGACTGTGAGCCCTTTGGAATTGTGGGCGTGGAAGACCTACACCCTAACTGACATCTTGAGTGTGGCAAGACATTAACCCACAGGGAACAAAACATCTCACTTCATTACGCAGGTTAGGCTGATGGGACTGAATACTGCAGATCCAAAGGGGAGAGGGAGGGACCAGCGCTACCTGCTGGGGCAAGGGTGGTGACAGTGGGTTGGCGGGGAGTGGGACAGGGTGGGTGCGTGGGACTAAAGTCTACTGGTACGTTGCTGAGGTGGAATTTGTCTGCACCAGAAGCTGAAATCCTGCAAGGATTCTCTCAGGTCTAGGCAAATACAGACTCCGAGTTCCATGCTTCCTCCCTGAGCATGCTGTACTCATGGTAACATTACAAAGGGCCTCTCGTCCTGTGCCGTGGGCACACAGGAGGACAACCACCATGGTCGCCAATCCAGTGATCCATGTGCACTGCCTTGCTGGTGCAGAGGCTCTCGCAAGCACAGCGGTGGCCGTGGTGCCTGCTAGCGGAGCGGTGGAAATCATGGCCTCGACCTCCGACTCCAGGGCTACTGTGCGCAGCTAATCCTGCTGGGTATCTGGGCCCCATAGCGAGTGTGACAGGCTATGGGCCCTGGGGGGCTCCCCAGGAACCCTGTATCCACGTAGGTGTGGGACGTGGTTCTCAGCAGGGCGAGGCCCGCGGGCCTGTCTGAGAGCTGTCCCCAGAGGCGAGGGGTGCTGAGGTCGTGGGGTGGCATGCACAGACTTTACACTGTGGGAGCCTCAAGGAGGGCATCATGTTAAGGCTGGAGGCTGTGCAGAAGAGGGCAGCCTGTGCACAGAGCAGGGAGAAACCCTGGGGGAAGAGGCATGCTAGTGGGGAATGACATCGTGGCAGAGATGGAGGTGGTGGCCAAGGAGGATGCCAATGTGGAGTGGCAGTAGGAGGACCTGCAGGCACAGCCTGGCCCTGCCCCAGTACACCCAGGCCAGCAACTGACTCTTGACGTCTTTCACTTGGAGCTGGGCTATGTGAATGTCCCAGGCCGCAGGGCATCCCTGGCTTCTGGGTCAGAGCCATATCCTTGCAGTTGCCAATTCGGGATGGCAGGCAGCAGAGGGTGGGCGCCAAGCTCCCTGGAGCAGGGTTGGAGGAAACAAAGTGGTAGGCGCTGGGGGTCAGCCAGGATTCAGGGCATGGGGGACAATGAGGGGAACCAAGAACAGCCTCATGCAGATAGGAGGGCAGCTTAATTGCAGGTGCCCTGAGGGCATGTGCTAGGGACAGGAAGCCAAGCACAACACTCACAAGGGAGAATAGCAGCGCAAAGGACCCTTCATAACAGCAGAAAGTTGAAGAACACCTTTCGCTGGGAAACTCCCATGAGGAAGGGGAGTCTGCAGGTCCATGCCAGCCATGGAACTTCCCTGCTTCCCATGCCTGTGTCCAGCAGGCTTACCCCAGAAACACAAGGTGCTCAAGACTTGGGTTCATGGTGCAGGGGGCTGCTGTCCTCAGCAACAGGCACCATCTCCCCAGATAGGATTTCTTCCCTTTGTCAGCGCTACACCCAAAGATGTTTAGGCCCTGAGCATATATAACCTCCATTGAAACCACTCAACCCCCATGGGGAGAGCCAGGCACAGCCCTGCAGCTACTTCTACTGGCAGTGATTGCCTCTGGTGGAGATGCCCACCCCTAAAGGAGACCAGGAGAAGGAGAGACCGCACACCTGGGCTGCAGCAGAGCCTGTCCAGCATCCAGCACATGAGGGCCTCCTGTAGCTCAGGAACACTGAGCAAGTAGCCGCCTCACAGCACAACACCCCGCCCCCAACCACCTTCCCACTTCTGAGACAGCCGCTAGTCACAGCAGGTTGTCTGGGCCTGCCTCCACCCGCCGCCAAGACCACCACAGCCATGAGTGTGCCCCCCATGCAAGATAGAGACAGAGGACCTGGAAGGGAGGGTGCCAGGCCAAAGGCCTGGGGGATACCCTGCCCACACTCTGCATGCTCTTGCAAAGTTGCAGGGTGCTTCCTTGCATGCCCACTCAATCATCTGGCAGCTCCTTGACCAGAGGCAGATTGTGTGGCACACCCAGATGTTGGCCAGGATCACAAATGATATGAAGTCCTGCTGAGCTACGTGATGGATATGCAGGTCAGGCTAAGAAGCCTGGGTCTGTGGGAGGGGTCCAGTGTCTGGGTCAAGTTGAGGTACCCCTGGGACCTGGGGGTGTCTCAGTGGGAGAGTTGGGAAGGAGAAATGCATGCTTCACCCCAGCTAGCAGGTCACCTCACCCCAGCTACATGAAATGGTCCTTTGAGTATGTCCTGTTTCTCCTTCTTGGCCAGGTAGGGGGAGGAACTCAGCCATCCCAGGTACTGGCAGCAGGATGAAGTTTTCCTTTCATCACAACCTTTACTTCCACAATGACATGACCATTCAGGAGTATTGTGTTGGATGCTTGGTAAGGAGTGCCTCCCAGCATGGTAGGGGAACTGGTGTGTGGGAGGGTCAGCCTGGCTTGAACCTTCCTGACTGACTTCTCTGTCTCCAGGATACAGAATGTCTCATTCCACTGCAGTCCAGTGGTTATGGGATCATGAAGGTCAAGCCTCCAGGTGCAGGCAGTAAAGCTGCTACCTTAGCTTGCTCAGCTGGTTGACTGACCATGACTAGCCTAGGTTCTGGCAGGATTGCAGAGGTGGGCACTGAGGTGGTACATCATGGGAAAGGCTCTTGCTGGTTGTTCCTTGGCCTCTGGGGAATTGACTTTGAGCCATGACCTGACCTAACCTGTACCCACTTCTGAAGTCCCCCACATCATCAGCCAGAGCCTGTGGCTCAATCACCTGCAGTACTTCCCAAGGGAAGGAGGCCATTAGAGAGTGAATAGAGAGGCCATTAGAGAGTAAATAGGAGGCCAGGTAAGCAGTCTAGGTCTGGTAACTGAGAGGCCTTTGATTCTTGGAGTTGTGCCCCACATGGAGAACCCAAGCCTTAGGAAGGTGACTGCAATGAGCAATCCCAGGTCATCTAAGGGCTGGTGGGGAAATGGCCATCAGGGAACAATAATACCCACTTTTTAGGATTGGGGCACCTTAAGCCACCTAAGAGGAATAAGTGTCTAAGGTCAGTGGATGAGAAGCAAGGCTCAAGGTATAGATATCTCATCATCCTTCACTAGTTGAGGTCTGAAGCCAGCTGCCACTTGGTGCTCAGTTTGGGCTCAACTAGGGCCCTCTCACCCTCCATGCAGATGTCCTCCCAAGGCCCATCTCTACATTGTCCCTGATGGGCTGTCCCAGGCCCATCATGTTCTGTTACAATGACCCCAGGTTTCCCCGACATGCTTTCTGCCTTGTGCCATCATCACTCACACTACCCTGCTCCCCCAGACAAGAAAGGCCACTACACAGGGAATCTGGAGGACCACTGGGCCCTGTGAGACACTGGGCTAACAGGGGAAGAAATGTGAAGAGATTGCAAAATGGCTGGGACTTTCAGTATGCACTCACTACTTGAGTAGTGGTGTGGACACCCCGTGTTACTTATCATGATGAAGACCTGCTTTGTTACATCCCCTAATATTAATATGGAAGTTATTTTCTTAGAATAGTGAAACAATTAGTACAAAGAAATACTATTTGTTCAGATTTGTATGGAAATACTACAGACATGTCCATTTTCCATTACAGTTCTTATGTGAGACTTGAAGTGTTTATTGAGTTTTAAGATACATTTTGATCTACTCCTGGCCATTTTTGTGATCATGTTTGTAGTGTAGAGACATAGAATCCAGGAAAGTTTTGAGTGACTTTCAGCTTCTTTTAGAGTACTTGTAAATTTAATTTTTTTTTCTCTGTGAGTCTCTTCAGTTTATTATTTGTTATGTGCAAGGTGATAAATTTGTTTTCTTATTTTCCTCTTGTGGAATCTTTGTTTTAAAGTACTCCTTTTTCTGTTAGATATGGAGTTTGACTATGAGTACTTTTTTTAGCACAAAATTTTTATTTTCATTTGTTTTTTTTGGGGGGTGTGTGTGTGTGTTTTGAAAAGGAGTCTTGCTCTGTCACCCAGGCTGGACTGAGTGGCAGGGTCTTGGCTCACCTCAACATCTGCCTCCGAGCTTCAAGCAATTCCCCACCTCAGCCTTACGAGGAGCTGGAATTACAGGTGCATGCCACCATGTCGAGCTAATTTTTGTATTTTTCATTGAGACTAGGTTTCACCATATTTGCCAGGCTGGTCTCCAACTCCTGACCTCAAGTGATCCACCCGCTTTTGCCTACCAAAATGCTGGGCTTACAGGCATGAGTCACCATGCCTGGCCTCATTTATTTGTTTATGTATTTGAACCTTGTTCTATTTTTTCATGTACACATATTTTAGAGATATGAAAATAATATATTTTATTTACTCAATATAATTTAAAAAGTAATGTTTTTATTCACTAAATACAGTATTGTGAATAGGTTAAACCTTTGTATAGTATTGTCTTTCTCTCTTTCACAAATTCTTCAATAACTCTGATACCATTCCCCCCTACCCCACCCCCAAGGAGAACATGCAGATAGTTCCAAAAAATTGTGGAAGTGAGTGGGTATGAAAATATAATTTGAAGGCCTGGCCAGGTGGCTCATGCCTGTAATCCCCACACTTTGGGAGGCCAAGGCTGGTGGATTAGCAGATCTCAGAAATTAAAGACCAGCCTGGTCAACATGGTGAAACCCCATCTCTACTAAATACTCAAAAATTAGCTGGGCATGGTGGCA